CGACCATCAGTCAGGAGGTCTCCCTGTGAGCTATGACCTCCAGTCAGGAGGTCTCTCTGTGGACCAGGACATGCCGGCAGGCTACCACAGCCATTCCCCTCCCACTCACTCATCCCCGGCAGATAGGTAGATCAAATAGTCATGATCATCTTGTGCCAAAAGAACAAAAATACTGAGTCAGTGGCCACAATTTCAACTAACAGCTCAACCTGCCAGACACAACTGCAGTTTTCAACTTTTTAAGACCGTTAATGCTGCATTCAGATAACTCACTCCATGTTGGAATTAGCTACTTTGAGCTGTCAGGGAATGGAAAAACATGAGAAATCTGCCGCTAGAAGAGTGAAAAGACACCCAGCACCTTCATCAGTTCTTCCAAACATGAGAGGTAGATTTTGAAGATGGCTGCTGCAGACGGCGGTCCAATGTACTGCCTAATGTCAGCCCTGTCCACGAAGGCCACGTCGATCCTCTCTGTGATGTTGGAAGTGGTCAGAATCACCACGTTGCAGTGCCTGAAGGTAGAGGAGTGTGCGCCAGTCACCAGGTACCTCAGGGACTCCCTCACACCCTCCGCCCATGGAAGTTCCGGTGTTCAGCCGGCATCCTAGCCACTGCACTCCAAGTCCCAACACGGGCCTACAATGTCTTCCGAGGCTCACGCCTGAGTGTCTGTGGGACTCCCAACTCCCCACCAGGCTCTCCTGGCCACAACACAGTGCACCAAACAGACCCTCTGCTCCTCTGCCTTCTGGAAAGTTCTCCTAAACTATCACTTCACTATTCCCTCTCCTCCCTCAACCGCGGTACGGTGAAGCTCTCACTTGTGTGCAGTCCTGACTGCCCCATCAACCTGCCTGGGCATGCCCAGGTGACTGCTCTCCATGCCGTTCTCATGACCCCCACACGTTGCAGAGCTGAACTATTTATCCTGTTTACCAGCTGCTTTCCCCTTTAGCTTCTAAGCTCTACAAAGAGAGCACTGTTGCCTAGTCTGTTCACTGACATGGGCCAGCACAGAGAAGGCCCAAGGCACTCTGGGGAGCATGCTCCCCTGGGGCCCATGGTTGGTATACAGTCTGCAGGAAGCTGAATGGCTAGCTTTACCTAGTGTCTAGCAACAGGTGCATAGCACAGGGTGAGCAGGGGTGAGCCAGTGAGGGTAGGGGCAGGGAGTATAGGGGTCCTAGGAGCCTAGAGTCAGATACACACAAAGGAAGGTCTGGAAGGGTCACCTTGAGGGGCCTGAACAGGGAGCATGAAGTAAAGGGGGACAAGAAGGTACGAGGGAAACCAGAGGCCCACGTGTCTCTATTCCCTCCTGAGCCCACACCTGCTGGCAACAGGAGGGGCATTGGGGCTCAGTGGGAACCCTGGAAATGGGGGCTTCAGAGCTGAATGACTGGAGTGTGCCTGATACCTGGTCCAGGTGGTCCTGCAGGCCTCTAAGAGGTGAGCGATAGAGGGGAGAAGGCTAGGCATGGGCTGCCCAGGCTGCCCGAAGAGATGAAAGGCCAGTGGCAGAAACTGAGGTGGTCTGGAGAGTGGAGGCTGGGGAGGGGTTGCCAGGGGTCAGATGCTGTAGAAAACTCCAGGGAGAACAAAGGCCCTCAGGTGAACAAGGCACAGGGGTAGAAACCAGACTGAGGAGCAGGGGCAGGGAAGGAAGCAGAGATGAGGAGGGGCTGCGCCTCGCACGTGGCTGGCCTGTTAGCAGGGTGGAAGCAAGCAGCCCCTGCAGTCTGCCCCAAGAGCCGCATCTCGGGAAATCAGAGCCTCTGTGGTAAAACCACCCTGAAGGCCTGGAGGAAACAGCCCTTAGCACAATTCAGTTCCCCGCGAGTCCACATGCAGTAAGCTAGCTTCCAGGCGGTGCTCTGGAGTCTGGCACCCTCAGTGGAGGACAGCACTCCCAGGACTAACTGTGAGAGCTGTTATCAGCAGGGGGGGCGGTGAAACACTGTGGAGAACACATAGGGGCTCTGGTTTGGACATTACTTCCTTGTGAGTCAGGTTAGTAGGAGTCACTCCCTAAAGCTGGATCAGCTTAGGGCACACTGACCACAGGCTCTGGACCTGCAAGGCTGGACTGTGGAGACACGAAATCTGGCCCCATGAAGGGCATGCAGGTGACACTCACCTGCCCATCGCCAGCCCTTCAAGGCCGACAAACCCTGGGCGGTGCTGGCACCAGTGCTTGAATGTGGCGTGTTTCACTCCTTGTCATGTGCTTCTCTACAGCATGTGAGTTTTCCCCACACTCAAGTTTTGTGTTACATTTTTAGTAGTTTAGTACAAGTACGTAATTCCTAATTATCGCATTTAGCATATATACCTCAGATGGGCAAAGACAGAACTGATACTTAGCAGCAGCCGTTGTTTCCAGTCAGAGGAGCTGGAAGTAAGGTCTAGGGGTGTGCAGGCACCTCACACCCTGCCCGTGGCTTCTCACGTGAGGCCACCACGTCAGCATTACCTCTTAATCTGATCGATCTGGGTCAAGACGGCATTGACCACGCGTATGGCATCCGAAGGCTCGGCGCCTGCCCTGCAAGCATTGCGGGCAGCCGTGAGGCTCTCCACCTGTGGGGATGGGACAATAGGTGGAGAAGGGTAGCGCCTGGCCCCACGGGCAGCCATGGGATGCATCGAAGGAGCAAGTGGGGAACAAGTGAAGGGGTGTGCTGAGCCCACTCTGCCAGAAGCTGCACATGCGGGACACCGAGGAGGAGCGTGCTGCATGACCGGAGCGCTGGACGGAGGCCGGGCTCAGCCAGGGGTTGGATTTGCTTCAGTCACAGGTGTGATGTCCAGAGGTGCATACCTCATCAATCAGCACAAACACCAGAGCATCTTTGTCATCAATCAAGTCCTGAATCTTCTGGAACATCTTAGTTACCAGCTTGCCACTCTGGAACCAAAATACTCCTTTAGTGTTGACTTGCACTCTTCACACTGCCTGGTGTATACTTGTACCCATGGTCCCCACCCAGCCTCAGACTGAGCCCAAGGGGCCCGCTAAGCCGACTGTCTCCTGACGGCCCCTTGGAGAAATACCTAAATCCAAGACGCCAGAGCCACATGGAAGGAGGCCGACCACACGCTGCCTTGCCCTGTTCCATGCGCCAGGGCAGCGAGCCTGAACCCACACCGGCTCAGCTCTGGGCTGCCTGGCATGGGCGCCTCACACGCCATGCACTTCCTCCTTCCCTTTCCCTGCCATCCCCATGACCAGGAACAAGATGGGTCACAGATGCAAACATGCAAGCTGGGAGGTGCGTGCCTTACAAGCGCTCCCTGTCCTGGCTTACCACCCACCAGAGGGATCTACTGCCACAGGTGCCTGGGCGGCATTCTCCTGTGCTGAGGGGCACTTATAACATCACCTTGGCTGAGCCCTGCGATTAAGAGAGAGGAACGAGGTTCAGGGCCCTGAGGGCGTGCTCAGCTGAGGATGCGGCCCTTGCTAGGATGAGGGTTCTCTCCCTAAGAGAAAGTTGAGTGTCTGTCCCACCCAAAGGTATGGATGTGACGAGCAGAGGGTCCTCTCAAGGCCTCACGCTACTTCCAAGTTACTGCTTAGCTCGGTAACTTCCCTCTGACCCTGAAGTCAGCCACACAGTCACGTGTTGCCTGTTTCTCATGTTCTTGGAGAAGATTTGCCTACTACAGGGGGCACCTTTTCAACTACAAGGTTGGCAATCCTGAAAAGTAGAAGTGATGCTAATACTTACTTCCGAAAACCACTTAGAAAAGAGACTGTGGCTATTTATTTCAATTAATTGGCCATACCGGTACCTAGGAGGGTAAAACAGAGTTAAGACGACTGGTTTACAAATCGGGCACCCCCGTGGCACCCACTCCTTCTTTAGCACTGCCCACTAACTGGTTAATTCACCAGGGACTAACCAGGGCTCAAGGCAATCATGAATTACAAGGTAATACCAACAGGGGCTCAAATAACTGTGAAAACCTAATGACGTGCAGTCGGTGGTTCTGGCTGAAGCAAAGTGTTTTGAATGGAATAATATCTTCATTTGAACCAAGGCAAGAGTAAAATCTCCCTCACTTCTAATCTACTCATAATTCACATCTCCAGCGTTGTAAGAAGTATTACCAGTAGTAACCTAGCAGGCAAAACAAAACATAATCGCCAGAAACTTTCTGGCTGGAGCTGAACATGCTTTCTTCCTTCCCTAAAACTGAAATGAGTGTGACAATCTGTTTCGCAGCACAAAATTACTTCCCGTGCCCGGGGCTGCCCAGATGCCCCAAAGTGAACCTCAGCACATACTGACTGAAATCTACCACTGAACCTCTGCATGCACGGAGGTGGCTGAGACCGGAACACGCTTAGTTCTAACTAAAAGCAGACAGGGAGCGAGACTGAGGCAGAAGGGAAGCCGAGCCAGGTCCTCTGCACCTGGAAAGTCCACACGAGAAAAACAGTCACTTTCAAAAAAAATTATAATTGGCTTTCCATTTGCTAATTCTGTTTACAAAAGAGGGAAGGGGAGAGACAACCTAACGAAATAAAGATAGGGATGGTTGTACTTCAGGGAGTTGTATTTCTTGTAGTAACATCTTCAGTCTCCCGTGTTTTAGGAAATCACCCCAAGAGATCTTTAAGACACGGATGTGTTTCAGTATGTCAAGACAAAAACCAAGTTGCCAAGCATAGAATAAAGGGTAGATATAGAGCAACTTCCCAACATAAAAATACCTACAGGACATTTTTGAAAAGAAGAATAAAATATACCTCATAGGATTCCCTCCTCTAAAGTCCCACTGAGTAATGAGTATCAGATTAACCCTCCGAATTAATCAACCAGAAAATGAGACAAAATCACAAGGGCAGCTGCGAAGGGACTGGGTGGCAGGCAGGGAGGACTGTCACCCCACGCGGGACCTGAGCGGGCCGTAAGTGCTCTGGCTCTCTGCCTGCAGCACCTTCCAGCCATAGCCCTGGAGGGGACCCAAGAAGTGTGCAGCCACTGGGCCGACCTGGACACAGAGGCCTGAGTTCAAGGAACCTGAGGCAGCTGGAGGCAACTAAGCAGAGTTCCAGAGGGGACGCAGATACTAGGAATAAGTCTTCAGGAATCATCACAGGGTCCTTCTGGGTCTTTGCTGAACACTCAGGGATGTGAGAAAAGGGAAATCCCATGAGGCTGGAGAGACGTGAGCTGTACGGTTCCTGGTGTTCACAGCTGGGAAGTTCACGTTCCTAATGGCCCAAGTGGACAGTACCCACTATGACTCAGGGGGCTCCCCTGAGACCCTGGAAGGGCCTCACTTCAGCATTCAGTCTAGACCCCACTCCAACAAAGCTTAAGAACAAACCTCAAGAGGATCACACTAAATCACAAGTAACTGAAATGCCTACCAGAACAAAATCCAACAAAAACAAGGTCTGCATTTGATCAAAGCTTAACTGACACGCAGCAGAAACTGACCCCGAAGCAGGAGAACCACCCAGCAATAGTGAGACTCAGAACTGACAACAACGATGGAATTAGCAGAAAAGAAAGTGGAACTGCTACTGTACACTTACTCGAGCATTTCAGCAAGGACACAGCATCAGAGAGTTGACAGGTATAAAAGGAAACAAGCGGAACCTCCCGAAAAGAAATATACACTATCAGAAATGAAGATGTCGCCGAATGGAATTAAAAGCACATTAGATATTTTCAAAAATGGCCCAAAATGGAACACAGAAAATTCTAAAAACCTTCTGAGAAGACCAAAAAGCACATCAGTGGCCCGTGGGACAATATCAGGTCACTGAACCTGCAAATCAACAGAAAATGGGGAAGGGGTATCTGAAACAACAGCCACGTAGAATCTAAAGGGGATGAAGCAGCCAGAGCTCAAGAAGAAACAGATCCAGCCTGAGAGACTTGGCCACTCCTCTCCCAGGTGACGGAACAGTGACCATCAGCAAGAGCAGCAAGCATCCTGAGCTGCCACCCAACCATCCCACCCCTGAAAGCAGAAACCTGTTCCGATGCGTACAGGAAGTCACCAGAAAGACCACGTGCTGACTGTAAAGCAAGTGCCATCGATTTAAAAAGACAAGATTCTAACTTGGCACCGCTGAGTACTGAGGAATTAGTTAACCTGCCTTGAAAGAGCGGGACTATGTAGAGAGTCAAGGGAAATGATGAAAAACTAGAAACATCTCTGCGTCACAAATGAGAAGCAAGCGGCCCCGCCCTGCTGCTCTCCTTTCTCAAATTACCAGAAGTTACCTGCATGAAAGTCTAATGGTCAGTTTCTGGGCTAATGCTTTACACAGGGATGTTTTTCCAGTTCCCGGAGGACCTGCAACAAAACCCAAGCAAATGTTAGGCCAGTGTTGTAACGTGGGTGCATTATGCACAGCATACAAAATGGGGAGAGCTCAATGCTATGAATGCTATTCCCCCAAGCACTGCTTGCTAACTACAAAGAAGCCCGCCAGCAGCGTGAGTGCCGTAAAATATCACCAAAACGCTTCACGAGTCTTTCCCTTTTCCTCCGAGTTTGAATTCAGCTCGTGTTTCTGGTCTTACCTCCCACGCCCCCAACAGAGCACTGCCTCCTGGCACGTGGGTCCCCTCAGCATCCCAAGAGGGCTACACTTCCTGGTTGACATCTTCAATGACACCCCCCTTGTCCCCACGTGTCCTCTGTAAAATCAAGACACCTGGCGAAAGGTCAAACACCTCTCATGACACTCAATTCACCAGGGCCGACGCTAAACCAGAACGGCAGCCAGGGGAGCCTGGCTTCTTCCCCGTGGGCCACTTAGCGCAGAGCCTGGCAGCAGCTCTGAGACCAATGTGAAGGACAAATCCATCTGTCAGGACAGGCACCTTCAACTCTGATTTTCTGCACACATTCTCAACAATTAAAAAAAAAACACAACAATTCTAAAGAGAAAATTAGCTATTTCACTAATTAAAATACCTACTGATTGCCTACTCAGAACCTAGTATTAGGACAATGTCCTGAGTGTGTTTGCTGCTTAACAGACACTTTTTAGGACTGCATAGCAGCCTATAACTTTAACTGATATAAGAAGCTAACGACTTTGCACCCCTATTTCACTTGGGTATTCTCTCAATTCCTTTCTAACCAGTGACATCAAGAAAAACCCAATGCTTTTTTTTTTAAAGATTTTATTTATTTATTTGACAGAGAGAGAGTGTGTGTGTGTACAAGCAGAGGAAGAGGGAGAAGCAGGGTCCCCGATGAGCAGGGAGCCCGATGTAGGACCCAATCCCAGGACGCTGGGATCATGACCTGAGCCGAAGGCAGACGCCCAACGACTAAGCCACCCAGGCGCCCCGAAAAACCCGATGTTTTCCTCAGAGGAGATTCAGACAGAATTTCAGTAGAGTATGGCTGTCATGCTTTACAGTCATAAAGGGAAGCTCTAAGGACACTATAAAGAAACGTGAGGCAATTTCTGCCCTAAGAATCATATGATCACTTGGGGGATTAGGCAGTTATTTGAAAAGTTTGATAATAATGTAAAAAAGTCACGAGGCAGTGATCAGGTGGCTGCCAAGCGGCAGGTCAAGTAGCAGAAGCCCAGAGTAACATGAGCTAGATTGGCTTCTCAGGGAAAGGACATTCTAGGGCAACTCTGGCTACATCAGAAAACAGAGTGGTAACTCCTCAAAGATCAACGGGATGAGTAAAGAAGCCCGATTTCACACAGTTTATCTTGTTAAATAAGTAAAAGCCCACATGCTTTACCATGCAGCAGCACCACCCGGTTCCAGGTGATGAGATTGCTGTCGACGTTCTTGTCTGAGAACAGCAAAGTCGTCATCACATAGTCAAGGAGCTGAGTGAAGAAAAGTAAAATGCAGTGGAGGTTCCCACCAGATGTGCTCATGGAGCTTACACCCAGGGAGTGGGGACAGGCACCGGGCTGCCCCTTGGAAGCTGCCATCAGTGCCACCGGCGATGCCACATGAGGACACGCTGGCTGTTACAGTGTAAGCGTCAAGGACAAACACGAGGCTCACTTTCACAAAAGATGCCAAGATCGCACAAAGGGACGAGACTGGTCACGTGACAAGCATCTCTGACCTCGGGGACAACAGGGCAGTGGGCAAGCGGCAGCACATGTGCCCGAGACAGCAGGCAGGACTCTGTGTTCTCGCAGCCTGGGGGGAATGCAGGGGTGAACCCCCAGAGTCCCCCACAGCATGCAGAAGGGCCCTTCCCCTTGAAGGGTTCAGACGAGCTAGGGCTTGCTCAGGCCTGCCCACCTGCTCTGTCTGACCTTTGGCTCTGCCTCCTCAGTCCCAATGGGTTCTTAAGAGCACAATCCAATCAAAGTTGCCTTCACATTGGGCACCCTCCCCTTTCTCTCCCCAGAGACCACTCTGCTGGGGGGCAACCCCAGAGGACAGATAAGCAGGACACGAGCTACTGGTGCGCCTGAGTTCCCAAAGCCTATTTGAGTCAAAGGGCTCCAAGATGCTGGAGAACAACACAGTATTGATCCCACTTCAAATAACCGGCCTTCTTGGAAAATAGCACAAAAAACTTACATGAGATTTGACTTCCACATCATATACCAGGCTGTCCCAAAGCCCATGGAATTCCGCTGGGAGAGAATAAAACAAAAACCTAATTTTAGGAAAGCAGGCTATTACACTGACCACTGAGGTTTGTTCTGAGCCGCTGATGCTCTCCACTGCCCCACCCCTGGCCAGCTAAGATTCTCATTATAGGGAAGTTAAATTTTTGAACTTTTTCTTAACATTTGAATTCTTCTTAAAATTAGAGATGCTAAGTAACTGCAGGTCACATACCTTTTGACAGATAATTAAATGGAGTACAGAGTCACTTTCTTGTCACGTTACCCCACACAATTGTCTTTTGTGGACCTGCACTCTGCCACAAACATGACCCTGACCCACCACTCTCCCCGCCAGCCAGCACTTCGGCAAGGCAGCGGCAGGTATAGTCCAGCTGTCAGGACCTCAGACATAAGCCCTGAGGACTGAGCTACCCACGACTCCACCTGCTAGAACCATGGCAAAGTCCTCAGAGAAAGAGAAGGCGGGAGGAAGGAGGTGCGCAGCGGGTGAGCAACTGGGCAGGAAAAGAACACCTTCAGATTCCCAATTAGCACCATCTTAGAGGGACCTGCCTGAAGGAGTGCAGTCTTACAGTGAAGATCTCTACTTTTCTCTCTTATGGCATGCTTCCCATTTCACAAGAAATAAGACATGCTAAAAGCCTACAAAACAAGTGGACAAATGCAAACCCCGCAGCTAGCTGACTTGGAGAGCCCAGGCCACGTGCCGACGTCTGCCCTCGTGTCTCGAGTGCGGCCCGCCTGTTGTCACTGTCACGCACCTGCAGGCAGGACCCAGTGACTTGCTGCAGTGATGTTCTCAGTCCCCTCTTCCAGAGTCTCACTGCTGGGGCCGCCCTCATTCAGCTGGAAGACGTGAAGTGCAATTGTGCAGGCACCCAGATCAATGGGCTGTGGTGAGAAGGGAAATCAAGCAAACCCACAAAAACTGAAAAACAACCCACTTCTAATCCTAGTCATCAAAGTTAGACGGTAACATCCAAAAACAAAGATCGCACATACAGAATGCTGGAAACCAGTTCTTAGATTAGGTAGAAAAGCTACCATGTTCAGGGTTAGTATTAGCTCTTTTTTAAATACTTCCCTCTGCCTTTATTCAAGAAAGGACTTTACTATTCTTTGTAATCATGAAAGTTACATGCTTGTTGAAAAAATACAAAAAAACACAGAAGGAAAAATGCCAAAGCCCCCCCCACATCCAACCTCGCCCATGTTTTGGTCTATGACGCACCACACACACTTGACCAGACGTGGATTCAGCTGCAGTTTTCTAACTGTGCCTTCCCCTCTCAGTAGAGCTTGGAAGCATTTTCTGTCAGTAGATAAAAATCTGGTGTGTGCTTTTTCACAACTATACCACATTGGGTGTGGATGTATCATTTCCTTAGCCTACCTCTGACTAGCAGATAATTATCTCATAATTAAGATATCTCAAGTCGTTAGCTATTACCAACAAAATATATAAAGTATAGTTCGCATATCTTTACGAAGTTACACGATGAAGACAAATTTCTCTAGGTCAATGTGCCAACTCAAAGATAAGAATGCTAAAACCTGTCCTTTAATCTGTCCTTCCTCAGTAGTGCGGAAAGCTCTTCTGTTTCCTTCAGGCTGTGGCCAAAATCAAGTAGGAGGGATAAAGCTGACAAAGCCACAAGGGCTAGTCCCAGTGAACGAATGGAGAGATCCACCTCGCAAGCAAAATTTTAGTGCCAAGCCAATTCTTCCAAACTGATTCTTCATGGGACAGGAAGCACACAGATAGAGGCGGTACGTCTTCCTGAGGCAGACACTTCGGGTTGTTTTCCTACTGACAGAAAAGCCCCAACACAGCCACCCTTTCCACAAAGGCTGGGGGTGAGACGGTCCTCACGGTGGACTGGATGAGGACCATCCCCTCTGCAGCCGTAGCCCCATGTCTCCCGTGGTCCTACGCTGGCCTCGAGAGCAGGGGTCGGGCAGGGGTCCGGGCAGGGCAGCCCACCACCCCACCGCGCGGCATTCTGCCTCTGGTTTCCCATCTGTCCCCCCACTGCGCTGCGAGCTTCCGACAGCGGGGTCCCATCTACTCCCAGCACCGGGCTCTTCACAGAGCCGGTGCCCACCCGAGAAACCAGAAGATAAATCAGCCAGTTTCTGACAACAGACCAGCAAAAAAGCACGCCCGCATTCATGATACTTCTTTGTTTTTTCGTTCTAAAAGTGAATTCTGCCTCCAGCGTGGGGCTGGAACTCCCGAACCCAAGATCAAGACCGCACAGTCCGCGGGCGGAGCCGGCCGGCGCCCCCACGACACGGGCTCTGTCTTCAGCTACGAGTTAAGGGCTCCTCCTCGCAGTGAGTTAGGTACCTGGGGGTCTTTCACCTTCAACTCCGTGTCGACAATAGACACGGAGTGCACATTTCTGGTCAGAAAAGGCTCATCGAACTCAGTCCACGTGTAGTCCCCGAACACGATGTTGTGTCTGTTGAGCAGCTTTCTAACGCTCTGCTTTATGTCCTCCTCCTTCGCGGTGCTGGCGAGACAAAGACACGGTAGGTGACAGCTCGGCGGGCCGACGCTGAGGCCCCCGACGTTCCGGCCGCGCCGCGCCGCCCCCGCCCCGCGGGGCGCAGCACGGGGCCCGCCCCGCGGGGCGCCGGCCCGCTTCTCCCTCCAAGGCGCGGCAGCCGTGCTTCCGCGGCCCCCGCCGACCGAAGGTGGGCACACGCTGGGCGCCGGCTCCACGACACCGCGGAGCTCCCCGCGCCTCGGGGCGCGCGTGGCGGGAGCCCGGGCCTGCGGCTCCCCCGACGCGACGGCGGCGCTCTGGGCGCGGCTCGGGCGGCTCCCGGAAGAGCCCTCCCAGGACGGCGGCTGGCTCCGGGCGCACCGCGGCCCTCGGGGCCCCGGGACCGGCCCTCGGGGCCCGGCAGCGCTGGGCGGGTCTCCGCGCGCCGCGCCATCTCCGCGGGGTGGGCCCAGGCGCCGCGCACGGTCGCGGGCCCCGTCCCCGCGCTCCCGCCGGAGCCTGGGGCCCCGTCGGCCCGGCCCCCGCGCGGGCGCCCCCCTACGCCGGGCTCACCTGCCGCCGCGCTGGTGCACCTCCACGTGCACGGTCCGCGCCTCGGCCACGCAGGGCAGCGCCTGCTTCAGGTCGCCCACCGCCTCGTCCATGCCGCCGCCGCCGCCGGGAGCAGCGGGGACCCGGCCG